ACGCTGCTGCGGCAGCTGGAGACAAACCAGCTAGACATGGACGCCACACTGGAGGAGCTGTCGGTGCAGCAGGAGACAGAGGACCAGAATTACGGCATGTGCGTGGCTGGGCCCAACTGTGGGGGCAGCGTGAGGGCTGCAGGCACAGCCATGGTGCCAGGCCTGGCCTGCACCAGGAGGACAGCAGAGGGGAGGGTAAATCAGTCATCTTGGGGCACAGGGGGAGGAGGGCTCAGGCTGGCACTGCCCCCAGCAGCCCAATCAGAGCCCTGCCTGGCATGAACTCTGTGCAAGTCATGCCATGCCTACTGCTTTGAGTGCCACCGACTGGCCAGGCACTGGGGCTGGGGGAGTCCTGCTGGGGCTGCCTGCTTCTCAGGAGCTCGGCTTCCCAGACTGACAGTAGCGTGGCGTGTGCTTTCTGAGGAGCTCCTTGTGCTGAAGAGGCACATGGGTCAGGACATAAAGGCCTCTGGTCCTTGACAGCAGGGGGTAGCTCAGCATCCTCCTGAGTGGGTGTGGGTGGCACACGCAGCCCCGGGGTTGCCGGTGGTGGGATGGCCTACCCATCCTCTGCCTCAGGCTCCTGCACGGCTGGGGGCTTGGAGCCTCCCCTGGGACCCAGTCAGGGACACTAAAACAGGCCCTCCAGAGTTCCCCAGCAAGTCTTTATCTCCAGAGGGAGAACCCATGGGTCACCTTGGATCTGGCTGTTTGGACAGAGCAGCCTGAGAAGGCAGTTTGATGCCTGGAGAGGGACTCGTGGCTTTCGGCTGCCAGGGTGGCCCCAGAAGGGAGCCCCTCACATGGGCGCTTCTCTGCAGAACCCATTTCCTGGGACTGAGTTGGGCGAGCTGCACATACCAAGCCCAGCTCCTCCTCTTCCCAGAACCCCCTCTCGGGAAGGTCCACTTGCTGCCATCTGGCAATGTCTGCACAGAGCCCCCATCAGCTGCCTCAGAACAGACCCCCAGGGACTTTCTTGGCAGTGGGACATGCCCACGCTGGTGCCTGCTGTCCTGGAAGTGGGTGAGGCAGGTGCCCCAGAAGACAGCGGCTCTTCCCAGCCCCAGCAGCAGCAGCAGCAGAGAGCCCCCGTCACCTAGGGACCCCAGGGAGAGGCAGGGGAGTTGGGCTTCTCACCGGCCTTCTACCTTCCAGCTTCCTGGAGATGATGGAGGCTCGCAGCCGCGGCCATGCATGCCCCCTGGCGGCCAACGGGCAGAGCCCGTCCTCGGGTTCCCAGTCACCAGTGGTAGCTCCAGGCACTGTGTCCACGGGGAGCTCCAGCCCCAGCACACCCCAGCCTGCCCCACAGCTACCCCTCACCACCACCCCACCAGCCTCCGTGGCCCCTACGCCGCCCTCAGAGGCCCTGCCCCCGCCTGCATGCCCCTCAGCCCCTGCCCCACGGCGCAGCATCATCTCCAGGCTGTTTGGGACCTCACCTGCCGCTGAGGTCGCCCCACCTCCTGCAGGTAGGCCCTGGAGCTGACCTCCGACCCTGGTCCCTGCCTCCCCGTACCCTCACAGGTGGGGCCCCTCGTCTCAGAGCGCTCCCCACTTCCTGCTTGTCCCAGTCCCATGGGCACAGCCAGGGTGGGCCTGGCCAGGGGTTGGGCACAGTGAGACCTCTGGTGCTAAGTGAAGAGGAACCAGCGTCACTGTTCACAGAGCCAGTCCCGGCCACAGAGGCCCCAGCAAAAGTCCAGAATGTGGAGGACTTCATTCCTGAGGACCACCTGGACCGCAGCTTCCTGGAAGACACGACCCCCGCCAGGGTCGAGAAGAAGGTTGGGGCCAAGGCTGCGCAGCAGGACAGCGACAGGTGAGGGTGGGCCCTGGACCACTGTCCCGTTGCCCCCAGCTTCCAGGGTGCCCGAGCAGCAGGCAGGGCAGGCTTCCTGGGGGTGCAGAAGGGGCCCCTGCCAGCTGGGCAGTGTGGCTGAGGACAGGGCAGATCTGTGGCCAGCGCAGATGAGGGAAGGGCTCAGATGGGGCTTTCAGACCTCAGAAAGGCCTGGCCACCCACTCTGCCCACACCCTGGAGAGGGCATATTCCACATGGAGGGCATTGGCGAGGCCCCTCAAGGTCACATGGGGAGGAGGTTCAGGCCACATGGAGGGCATTGGCAGGGCCACTCTGGGTCACATGGGGAGGTTCGGGCCACCAGATACGGTCTCCGCAGGTCCCAGAGCTGGGAGCTAGAGCCGGCTCCTGTCCGCCTGCCAAGCTGCCCCAGATGTTGCCTGCAGCAAAGCCTTGCGCTTGGTCCCAGGCGTGGGATCCACTGGACAGGCTTCACCTCGGGTGCTCTCAGCACCCTGTCCTCACCCATTGCTGTGGGGCACTGGCTTCCTACAGAAATACAAAGGACAGAAAGTGGCCCTGAGCTGGGCTTGCCCCCAACCATCCTTCATGCCACTGGCCAGCCGCAGGCCAGCACTGTGTCCAACCTTGTCCTCCCTGGCCCTTTCCTGCTCAGAAGCCCCGTGACTGCCATAAGGGGCTTCTCCACTAGACACAGCTTCTAGTAGACCCTGGGTGGCAACCGCCAGGGTGTGCTGGGGTGCCTCGAACCAAGGCCTCTAAGCCAGGCCATCCGTCCCCACCCTGCCGCCTCTGACCGCTTGGCCACTTGCTTTGCAGTGATGCAGAGACTCTGGGTGGCAACCCGATGGTGGCAGGGTTCCAGGACGATGTGGACCTCGAAGACCAGCCACGTGGGAGTCCCCCGCCACCCACAGGCCCTGTCCCTAGTCAGAACATCACTCTTTCAAGTGAGGAGGAAGCGGAAATGGCACATCCCCCAAAAGGCCCTGCGCAGGCTCCCCAGCAGTGCTCAGAGCCAGGGACCAAACGGTATGGGAGAGTTCCTCCGGGGTGCAGCCTGGACACCAGGGCGGGGGCAGCTCAGGACCCTCTGGAGGACCCTGACCCTCTACTTGTCCACAAAGGTCCTCCACACCAACCTCAAAGCTGCAGAGGGGGACAGCTCCTGCAAGGGCCGCGGCACCCCCCTGGCCAGGCGGTGCCCCTGTTCACTCGGGTCTTGAGAAGCGCAGCAGCACCAGGCCCCCCGACGAGACGGAGACAGGGAAGGGCGAGCAGGCATCCTCGCCCGAGAGTGACCCCGAGGGGCCCATTGCAGCACAAATGTTGTCCTTCGTCATGGACGACCCTGACTTTGAGAGTGAAGCGTCAGACACACAGCGTAGGGCGGTAAGACGGGTTCTCTCGGGCATAGGTAGAGTCCCTCCTGCAGGCCTGATCTGGGCCGGCACAGCGGGAGGAAGCTTCTGGAAGAGGTGCCCTGTGTCTCCACACCTGGGCCTTGCCAGCTGGGTTTGAGGCCCCATAGTCCCCAGGGGTGTGGGAGGGACAGTGGCCTACCAGCTGCACTCCCGTCTACAGGATGAGTTTCCCGTTCGAGATGACCCCTCCGATGTGAGCGACGAGGACGAGGCCTCACAGCCAGGCCTCGGCTGCCCGGCCCTGGCCCAGCCACCCCCACCCCGCAAGCCTCCTCTCCCTGCCTTCAGACCGAAGAATGACTCGGACCTCTTCGGGCTGGGGCTGGAAGAGGCCGGACCCAAGGAGAGCAGTGAGGAAGGTGGGTGGGGTGCCGGAGTGCGGCCGGCCTGCTGGGGTCTGGCAGGACGTGGGCCTCTGGCCTCCTGCCTTTTCCCACCTGCCAGCCACTGGCCGTGGGCCTCTCCCGAGGTCTGCAGCACGGTCCTGTCCATCAGCAAGCTTCCTGGAGGGCTGGGGGCTCTGCTCTGTGTCTGGAGAAGTCCTGTCACCCAGTACGGGGGTCCCCCACAGGCCTGAGTTGGAGCCACTGAGTGTCTGTCCTGTCCGTGCAGGTAAGGAGAGCAAAACCCCCTCCAAGGAGAAGAAGAAGAAGAAGAAGAAGAAAGGCAAAGAGGTATCTGCCGGGCCTCAGCCCCTTCCGGGCGGGCCAGAGCTGCGCAGGGTACAGTCCTGGGGTCACGACTCAGGCCTCCTGTGACTGTGGTGCCCCCTGCTTGTGCCCCCCAGGAGGAAGAAAAGGCTGCCAAGAAGAAGAGCAAACACAAGAGAAGCAAGGACAAGGAGGAGGGCAGGGAGGAGCCGCGGCGGCGAAGGCAGCGTCCCCCGCGCGGCCGGGAGAGGACAGCGGCCGACGAGCTGGAGGCTTTCCTGGGGGGCGGGGCCCCAGGCGGCCGCCACCCTGGGGGTGGTGACTATGAGGAGCTCTAGGCCTGCTGGGGCGGTGGCCGCCCTGGGGCGGGGGGCCGTGCCTGTCGCTGCCTGGGGAGGCTTTTGCGGCTGCGCCATCGCCTTTGCTGCTGCCCGGCAGCTGCCACGTGCACTTCTGAGCTGGAAGAGGCCAGGCGGTGGCAGCCCTGGCATGAGCCTGCTCTGCAGGGAGGGAGGGGACATCTGGCTTTGGCCAGGCTTGGTGGATACCCTGGCCCTCTTGGGGCAGAGCCGCCAGTCCCCAGTGTTTCTCAGGGATGTGACTGAGGTCCAGGAGGGACCCGTTAGGGTCTGTTTACAGAGGCTGGGCAGGGGCCGCTTGGCCTTGGGGTGCGCACTGCCCTGGCACCTGCTTACCCTCCACCCTGGCACCTGCTTGCCCTCCACACCCACCCAGGGCCACAGGGTGTCTGGCTGTGCCTCTGGCCGGGAGCCTTCAGCACGGGTGTGTAGACCCACCATGAAGGGCAGCCAGGCCTTGCACTGCACAAGGCTGGTGAGACTGCAGGAGGTGAGACCTCTCCTCGGGGAGGGGTGCTTCCCAGGCACCATCTCCCCACAGCAGCCCCCGCTGCACCCCGCTCAGGTGAGCCCACAGACAGGAGCCGGGAGGCACTCCTGTCATTCCACTCGGACCATAAAGCACTCCTGTTTCACTCTGCCTGTGTCTGTTCTTCTCCCTGCACCTCTGTGCCCACTGCCCTGAGCCCAGGCTGCTATGGGTTGGCAGGGAAGTCCCCTGAGGCAGGAGGCTGCCCACCAGCATGGGGCCAGCATGAGGACACCCCCCCAGTCTGGCCACTGGCCACACCTGGGTACAACACAGCCCACCTTGGCCGAGTCTCAGCAGCTGCATCCGGCACACTTGGGGGTCTGCAGCCCCAGGAGGTGGAAGTCCACTCTGCACTGCTCCCAGCCCTGCCCCTCCTTCAGGCCCCTGCCCACCCCCCAGCTGTCAGCAGCGCCCAGCCTCCACCCCCTCACCACCCCCACAGCCGCTGTTGCCATGAGAACCCTGCAGGGCGGGCAGGAGTGCGCCAGTGAAGGGGGAGGTGGCCATGCTGGAGGCTCCTGTGCCCGGGAGCTTTGTGGCCCTGGGGCATGGAGCAGTGCCAAGGCCCACAGCAAGCTGACCCCTTAGGAACCTGACCCCTTAGCCCACAGCCTGCAAGATGAGGGCTGGCTTCAGGCTTCCCCTAGGGATGTGTCAAGGGTACCGAACTTGCCTGGACCACACCACGGATGGCTGTGTTGGGTGTTCACGGCCCTGCTTTGAGCAGGATGCAGAATGGGGTCAGTTCTGCCTTCAGAGCCAAGGGCATCTACTGCCCAACCTTCTGCCAAGCTAGGCTATTCTCAGGCCCAGTGCCTTGGAGAGGGGGCTGGCAGAGTTGGGATGAGGATGTTACCGGGAAGGTTACGGAGGGTCACGTGCAGACCCCAGGCTCAGAACAGCCCAAGCTGGCAGGGACACTGGGTACAGGAGAGGCTGGTGTCCTGGGGACACAGGAGGCTGCTGGGGCCATCTGGCCACAGGTACCCACCAAGATTCTGGCATGGGCAGCCTGGAAGCAGATAGGGCCTGGGGGGAGGCCAGCAGGGTGGGGAGTAGCCCATCTGCTCCTGCCGGGCCCAACGGGAGATGCGAATTCCAAGATCCCCCTAACCAATCTGCAGCGCAGGCCAGGCTGGGGCTCCTCCTCTCAGGCAAGTGTGTTGGGGTGACACTAGTCGGCCACTCAGGGGCACAGGGTTCCTGTGGAGACTTTGAGGTCTGTCTGAGGGAGGCTGCAGGGACCCCGTCCTCCGCACAGTCCCAGACCGGAGCCGGTGCAGCTCGGTCCCCAGCTCCTGTGCATCCCCCACTGGGCGCGGCTCCTTTAAGTACAGCCCCGTCATCCTCCACCGGGGGCAGCACTGAGCAGCCAGGCCAGGATCCGCGCTGCTGCCTCGAAGCTTCTGCCGGGGCCGGGGACGCAGCAGTGCTGAGGACACGGAGGAGCCACGCTGGGGGTGGCACGGCCCACGGGGCGCAGCCGGAGCACTACCCAGGTGAGGGGCCGGGGGCCGAGCTGCTGAATGTGTCACTGTCATGGGCGGGGGAGGCTGCCTTAGGGCGGCGAAAGGATGGGGAGTCCCCGCCCCCAGGCAGCACTGGCTGGATCCCTTGAAGGGCCGCTCCCGGCCAGGCCAGGGCAGAGGTGGGAGGTGGGGAAGGACGCCCACCATCCGCGTGGGCTCCAGAAGGTCTTGGGCCAAGGAGGGGGCCGAGCCCACCCCCATCTCCACGGGAGGGGGTGTCACTGACAGCCACAGCCAGCAAGGCCGGCTGTCACCTCCCTGGGGTGGAGCCTCACACCCTGTCATCCGGCCGGATGTCGGCCTGGCCTTGAGCTTAGCATGAATGGGGGAGCAGGAGGGTGGACAGTCCTGCCACCCGAGGAGAGACGGGGTGGATGGGAGGCTGGGATGGGGATGAGGCCTGGGACTCGTGGCCCTGACCCAGAAAAGCAGCCCTGCCAGCAGGAAGTCCCTGCACACCTGGGAGGGGGGGGGGGGGAGCAACCCGGCCAGACCCCGAGAGGCCCATTTACCTTTGGGTCTGACGGGCGGGGGGGCCTGGCCAAGTCCCTGCTTTCCCCCACTCACTCCAGAGCAGACCTGCCACACCAGGGGCTCGGTGTGAGGAGGCCAGGCCTGTGGCCACGGTCTGGCACACCCCGCAGCTGGCCCCTGGCCCTGGGACCACAGAGGTGCTGGTAGCCCACATCTGAACCCTGGCCAGCCGGCAGCGTGGGGGCCTAAGAAAGGCAGGTTTCCATGGAACCTCCTGAGTGAAGTGGGGAGGGCCCTCTCCTGCCAAGCAGCGGGGCTTCCCCCGCCCTCCGCCCTGCCCACCCCCAGTGGGCAGCTTCCGGGCCTGGCGCGCAGCTCAGGAGAGAGGGGGTGCCAGAGCTCGGCTCGCTGGCCGCCGTGCACACCCCAGGGGGGTGTCCTGTGCGTTCACACAAAGCTGGGTGCAGGGGCCCTCTGGGGGCCTTGCTTCAACCACCCAAAGATACTTGGAGTCAAAAGAGATGTCGGCAAAGGAAAGGGGGCTTAGGACCCAGGTATGCTCTCTTGGGCATTTTCCGGCCTGGGGCTCACGGGAGGTTGAGCGCACTTCGGCGTGGGTCCTTGCAGTGTTGGGGGAGGGGCTCTGTGCTGGGCCCGGCCACCAGGTGGGGTGGTTGGTGTCACCCACTTGGTGCAGAGCTGGCTAAGGCTGAGGCCCAGGGACTCGCTTTCGACTGCGCGATCAGAGGGGTCGGTCTGCAGTGACACCTGTGACGGGGGCGCAGTCACTAACGTCTCGCAGGGCAACACCTGTAAACAGGGCCCAAATGCGCCCCGTCCTTCCAGCTGCGGACAGGAGAGGGCGCAGCCCCAGGACCGCGCCCCTACTCCCCTGCCCCACCCGGAAAGGGGTCCACCGGAGCTTGCCCCGCCATCACTAGTCGGGGGAGGGGAGCTCCCGCCGCGGGAACCACAGCCACAGCTAAGCCTTTGTGGCCCCATCGCCGGGAGAGGATGGGGGAAGGGCGGGATCTGGGCGCCTGGACAGCTGGGTTCCTCCCGCAGGTGCCTCTAACCCCGGCATGGAGGAAGCGCCCGCGTTCTCGGCCCAAGCCAGCAGCCAGGGCTGCTCCGCCCGCTGCGCCCCAGGTAAGCCGGGCCAGCGTGGGGGAGTAGCGGGGCCTGGGCTGCGGAGGGGGCCGCCCTGACCCGAGTCTCCCCCCAGGGCAAAAGCCCCGCAAGGCAGAGTGAGCTGGAGCCGCCAGCCTGGGGACCTCTTTTAAGATGACCCGTACGGACCCGCCGGACCTGCTGGTGTCGACCGTGTACCAGGACATCAAGGTGGCGGCCCCGGGACCCGCATCGAGGCGCCCGCCATGTGAGCGATCCGCGGCCCGGCCTGCCGAGCCCGCGCCTTTCAACAAGCGCCACTGCCGCAGCTTCGACTTCCTGGAGGCGCTGGACGGGCCAGCCGAGGAGACCATGCCGGAGCCACCGCCCCCGGAGCCCGCCGTGTCGCGCGCCCGGGCCCGGGAGGCCGAGCCGCGCCGCCGCGCCCGCTCCAAGAGCGCGCCCCGCGCGCCCCCGGGCCTGACTCCCGCGCCCGCCTCGTCGCCGGTGTTGCCCCGCCGAGGGCGGGAAGCTCAGCGGGAAGCTCAGCGGGCGGCGCGGGCCGAGGCGTCGCGGGCCGAGGCGTCGCGGGCCGAGGCGTCGCCGCGCCGGGAGCCCGCGTACCCGGCGCTCCGCGCGCTCGCCAACGAGCTGCATCCCATCAAGCTGCAGCCGCAGCGGGGTGGCCCCGGCCGCATGGCGCCCTTGTGCGCCGCCGCGGGCCGCTGCGCGCCGCCCGAGCCGCCCTCGGGACCCGCCCCCCACGTGCGCTGCCGCCTGGACATCAAGCCCGACGACGCGGTGCTCCAGCACGCCGCCCGGGGCTCGCGGTCCTGCGCGCCCCCCGAGGCCGCGCCCTGGGCCCGCCCCGCCCCGCAGTTCCACGGCCTCACGGTGCCCGGGCCCCGCCACATGGCGCTGTCGCGCACCCCCACGCCCAGCGACTCCTACTGCGCAGACCCCCGGGCGCTCTACTGCGACGGGCCCCTGCCTGGGCCCCGAGACTACGCCGAGCGCCGCAGTCTGGCCTTCACCACCCCGCCGGGCCCCACCCAGTTCTTCTACACCGAGGAGTCCCAGGGCTTCCGGGGCAGCTACGCGGCCAGCCCCGGGCCCACCTTCGACGCCTACTGCCCCAGGCCCTACCGTCCCGAAGAGCTCCCGGGGCCCAGTCCCCGGCGCGTGGGCGGCTACTACGCGGGAGAAGTGCGCACCTTCCCGATCCAGGAGCCGCCCTCCCGCTCCTACTACGGGGAGGCTCCGCGAGCCTACGGCCTGCACTACGGGCCCCGCTACTTCCCGGAGGAGCCCCGGGCCCACCACACCGCCCGCCCCTTTTACACGGAGGACTTCGGGCGGTACCGCGAGCGCGACGTCCTGGCTCGGACGTATCCGCACCCGCGCAGCAGCCAGGCCTGGGCGGACTGGGGCCCGCGCCCGTACCGCACCCTGCAGGTGGCGCCGCCGTCCGACCACGACCCGCTGCTCGCCTCCTGGCACGGCGGCACCGGCACCAGTCCGCCCCGGCTGGTCACCGACAGCCGCCACTACTCGCGCTCCTGGGACAACATTCTGGCCCCGGGGCCGCGCCGGGAAGACCCCCTGGGCCGCGGCCGCAGCTACGAGAACCTGCTGGGGCGCGAGGTGCGGGAGCCGCGGGGCGCGTCCCCCGAAGGCCGGCGCCCGCCCGTCGTGGTGAACCTGTCCACCTCGCCCAGACGCTACGCCGCCCTGTCCCTGTCCGAGACGTCGCTGACCGAGAAGGGCCGCTCGGGCGAGGGCCTGGGCCGCAACTGGTACGTGACGCCCGAGATCACCATCACCGACAACGACCTGCGCGCCGCCGAGCGCCCGAGCGCCAGGGCCTGGGAGCTGCCCGGGGGACGCGCGCGGCCGCCTCCCCACGCGGCCCCCGACGGCCCCACCTCTGGCCGCCAGCGCAGCCTGGAGCAGCTGGACGAGCTCATCACGGACCTGGTTATCGACTCGCGGCCCCCCGCCGGCCAGGCCCCGGAGCCCGCGGCCGACTGCCTGGGCCCCCAGCTGCGCCGCCTGCTGGACTCGCGGCCGGCGGGCTCCGGGGCCCCCGCGCTGGCGCCGCCACGCTCGCCCCCCGCCTCGGCCGGCAGCGCGGAGGAGCCCGCGGCCCAGGGAGAGGCGGCCGACGCGTCCCCCGAGCCCAGCGCCGACGAGGACGACCTGATGACCTGCTCCAACGCGCGCTGCCGGCGCACCGAGACCATGTTCAACGCCTGCCTCTACTTCAAGTCCTGCCATAGCTGCTACACCTACTACTGCTCGCGCCTGTGCCGCCGCGAGGACTGGGACGCGCACAAGACGCGCTGCGTGTACGGCCGCGTGGGCAGCGTGTGCCGCCACGTGCTGCAGTTCTGCCGCGACAGCGGCCCGGTGCACCGCGCCTTCTCGCGCATCGCGCGCGTCGGCTTCCTGTCCCGCGGCCGCGGCGTGCTCTTCCTGGGCTTCCCGAGTCCCGGCTCCGCCGACAACTTCCTGCGCTTCGGCCTGGAGGGGCTGCTGCTGTCCCCCACCTACCTGTCCCTGCGCGAGCTGGCCACACACGCGGCGCCCCTGGGCAGCTATGCCCGCGAGCTGGCGGCCGCGGGGCGCCTCTACGAGCCGGCCGAGTGTTTCCTGCTCAGCGTGTCCGTGGCCGTGGGACCCGGCGCCGCGCCCCCGGGGACGCCCGCCCTGCCCGCGCCCGCGCCACGCAGCCACGGGCCCACGGTGCGCAAGTTCGCCAAGGTGGCGCTGGCGGCCGGCAGCCCCGCGCGGCCGCCCCCGGCCCGGAGCCGCGAGCCCGACATGGAGACGCTGATCCTGACGCCGCCGCCCGGCACGGCGGGCCTGGATCAGGACGGCGAGGCGGGCCGGCGCGCGCGCGAGGTGGCCTTCATCCACATCCAGCGCGAGCTGCGGCTGCGCGGCGTCTTCCTGCGCCACGAGTTCCCGCGCGTCTACGAGCAGCTCTGCGAGTTCGTCGAGGCCAACCGGCGCTTCACGCCCACCACCATCTACCCCACGGACCGGCGCACCGGCCGCCCCTTTATGTGCATGATCATGGCCGCCTCCGAGCCGCGCGCTCTGGACTGGGTGGCCAGCGCCAACCTGCTGGACGACATCATGTGAGGCGCGGGGCCCACCCACGGCCGCCCCCAGCCCCGCCAGGGCCCCGCCTCTAACTCCCCAGCCCTCCAAGCTCCGCTCAGTGCGGCCTCCAGCTCCGCCTAGGGCCCCCCAGGCCCTCCGTCCCCGTAGTGTTCCTCCCGGGCCCCTCGCCTTCCCACCCCCCAGCACCCCCTCCCTCCTCCCGGGACCCCTCCCTCTCCCAGCTGGCCCTCGAGGTTCCCCAGAAGCAGCCGGTCCTCGCCCTCGGTGCTCCCCGCTGGGAGGCGGGGTGGGCCTGAGGACCGCCCCGCTCTGCCTTTACCGGGAGGGGTCGCCACTGCACAGGCCCCACGCCTACAGATCCGGTCCCCGTCGGTGCGCGAGGCTCTCGCTGGAGCCTCCCCGACTCCGGTGTCCGCTAGTCCAGGAGCCCGACGTAACCAAAGCCCCGCCTCCCGCGGCTGGGTGCCTCCTCCCAGAACACCCGGGTCGACCTCGGGGCGTCCGTGCGCGTCCGGCAAGGCGGTGGGCAGGGCGGGCGGTGCGCGGTGCGTTCCCGCTGGTCGGAGCCGGTACACTGACAGCGCCAGGCGCCCTGCTGTCCCCTCGCCTCCAGCCGCTGCAGTCCGGGCCCCGCCAGAGCTGGGAGAAGCGGCAGGGAGGTCTTCAGGCCGATATGCAAGTCTCCCGGCCAGAGGAGCAGGGGACGTGGACAAGGAAGCAGAGCTTTGGGCCCGGCCAGAGCTGACACCTGCTGGGCCAGAGGGAGGGAGGACCCAGCGACAGGGGGAGTTCCCAGCTGGGAGCCAGCAGGGGAAAGCTCGTAGGGGTGCCCCGTGGCCGCCTCGTGCGAGCAGGTGAGGGAGCCAGCTAGTCGGTCAGTGCAGAGGCCCACCCGTGGGGTCTTGACCTGGCCCAAGAGGTCCCCGCACCCCGTACTGCGGGCGTGGAGGCGCGAGTCCCGTGGCCCGGCCTCCACCCGCCCCCAGGGCTCTCTGGAGGGTCAGGTGTCAGGGAGAGGGGAGGAGGCCAAGCGCTGCGCAGGGGCCCTCCTGGAGTCCCCAGTCCTACTTCAGAGCCAGGGGAGGGGGCACCAAGTCAGAGGCATCGGGCACCCCCTCCTCTTGCGCTCCACGCGCCCACCTTGTCCCCGAGCGTTTGCACCGGCCAGGCATCCCGCTTGCCCACCTGCCGCCGCACCCCCCGCCCCAGGGCCTCTGCATTCGGCCCCACCCCTGAGGGCTGGCCAGGAACACGCCCCCAGACCGGAATCTTTTCTAGGGGGCAAGAGCTTTCCAAGCAAGTAAAATAGAACTTGAATGTAGCTACTGCTGTGGTCTCCTTGTGTGGATAGAGGGGTTGGGGAGGGAGGCCTTCGGACGGCGGAGGGGGGAGTGAGGGTGGAGAGGGAGGCCCACGGACGGTGGTGGGGGGGGAGAGGGAGGCCTTCGGACGGCGGAGTGTGGGGAGATGGAGGCCTCCGGACGGCGGAGGGGGCGGGAGGGAGGCCTCCGGATGGTGGTGAGGGGGCGGGAGGGAGGCCTCCGGATGGTGGTGAGGGGGCGGGAGG